AGAAGAAGTTGAAAGTTGCTTATTGACTCCTAAATTTATAATAATTAGTTTTTAAAAATATTTATAAGAGAAAATTATGTTTTTAAATTAGGACTCTATACAATTTGGAATTATATGCATTAGCTATTCTCTTCTTCTATATATATATATATATATGCACACATATTGAATCTTATGATTTTGCTCGATGGGCTAATTTATTTATGATTTTTATTAGGAATAATCTTTCCTTTTTTAAATCCCTCTCAGAATACAAATTAAGAACTCCAATGTAAAGGTTTTACCTCTAATTTGATAACTAGGAGACTTGTTCCTAGGCTAATATTGCATAAGTTAGAAGAATTTTGTATTTAATTAACTTCTTAGGTTAGTGGTGGTGAAGTTTATTAATACTTAAAATTATTTACAATTATTTTTTATTTAATTTCGTACTCTAACAGTGCTTTAACAAAAGTTTACTCTAATTATCAAATAAAAGGAAAAAAAAGGGGAAATTCAAGTTAGGCCAAATGGACCATTAGAGCTTGTTTGGTTTGAAGGAGAGATTATTTTAACTAATTAAAATTAAGTCTTTGGTCAGAAAAATAATTTTATTGATTAAAATAACTTTCCCTCAAACCAAACCAGATTTTAATGCGATCACATATATCTAGATTATTCCTTTTAATGACATGTTTCATACATGGTAATTTTTTTTTTTATCTTAACTAAATTGCATAATGAGAAACAATTTTTACTCATCTTTTAACTCGCTTCACTCATATATTATATGATTCAAATTTATATTTTCTTAATTTTACTAAAACAATATTATCACTTAAGTTGTTGGCAATCAATATTCCGCTGCACACATATTAACAAAAGAAATGAAGATTCTCAAATCTCAATCAATATAGGAAGAACTTATTGAGTATCGGTTGAGAGCTTGATGTTTCATTTTAGATGTTTTAAGATTTGAATCTTAGATATTAGTGGTGAGATGTGTGGTAAAGGAATAGCTACCCCTTATATCTAGTTTATTATTTGACGTATGAATAATAATAATAATAATAATGAAAGCAAAACCCGTTCAAAATACTAATAATAATAATAAAACCACTAGTGACTCAATTCTAATCTTCTGAAGTTGTGTAGGACAGACCAGTGTGGTAAAGGTAGGAGAAGGACGTTACTCACCTTGTCTAATCTATAAAAAGAAATTTCTCAAAAACCTCAAGCAATGTCATTGAATGCCCAAGTTAATTAAGGCTCCGTTTATGGTTTTGATTTTTGATTTTATATATATAGGGTAACTAACACCATATTTACATTAAATTTAATCAATTATAATTTTTATAATAAATTTTAATTTTTAAATATAATAATAGCTACTAAATATATAAAAAAAATAAAACTTAAAATTAAAAATCAAAATCATACCAAACAGTAAGATGTTCCCTGTTTGGGACATGAACAGAAGCATAGGCCCAACTAGAGATTTTTCATTTGGACCCCATAAGAGACTTAGCCCAATTCAAGAAGCTAAGTGCACAGGTACAGTTGTTAATGATTCTAACACATTCAATTTACAACCACCGGAGATAACAATGGCATTGCTCTTCCTGGGCTTTGGGTATCTCATAAAAATGCAAATGCCTTCATAAACTACCAGTTCTTTCAACTTCAATAACAAATGAAAAGAGGAAAGGGAGATATCAATTGATTCAACAAGGCTGTGTTTCCTTTCCATTACATTTCTTCTCTAAACCATTACAGTTCCTACGCAGAAAACCTAACGAGATAGCTGATGGTCAGGTGAAAATAATTTAAACTGATCCTTGCTCAAAAGGAACACGTACAAAGAGCCTTCCATGCAGGCTAACAACAGCAGATGTCTGAAGCGGATCAATTCTAGCAGGCAAGCTCACAATCTGCAAACAAGAACAAAATAACATGAAGAAATCTTTCTTTGAGAGTTCTAGATGTCACATACAATGTAATAATATTAGATCCTAAATACAATTATTCATGGCATGTATGGTAATCGAATGGGCCAACTGCTGGTTCAAAGTTCATTTTGATTTATCATATTCAGCATGCAGCTTGAAATGTGCACAGCGAGATAGGATGGCTCTTGTTTTCCAATTTTCATGATTTTCTCTAGAGTATCTGATCAGGCTTAGTTAACCAGGGGCATGTTCGGTTAGACCATTATTTCTGGAAGAGTAGTTATAAAAGTATTGTACAGAAAGTTGTTTTGTAACGAAATTATGTTAGAATTTTATTGGGTTATTAACTTTATTGTGTTTGATAAGAAATTAATATGGGAAAAGTTGTTAGTGAGCTTAATATAGAGACAGTTATAGGAAAACTTTTTCCTTTCAAAATAGGAGAGAACAAAACTTCAAGAGTTAAAAATTATGTCAAAGAAATTAGAAGTTAAAAATATCACTTTTACCCTCCTTTTTTTTTTTGTAGTATTAATGTGTGAAAATATGTAAATAACCTTGTAAGGGGGAAAGTTTAGAGAATTTCAGGGGGGAAAGTTTCCCCCCAACCAAACACCCTTAGGTTTCGCCAGATTAGGAAGTTGAAAGTACCTTCTTAAAGGGTGTGATACCCCAAGGGTTGTCAAGCTGCTCTGGCTGACCTGTTATGACCAGACGTCCAGCAGGATCTGATTGAACTCGAACCTAAATCCACCAGAAAGCCAAGGTCAGCATCAAAATGTTGGCTTTGGCCACAAGTATATAGTGAAGCAAGAAAGCAAAATGTGTGACTTGTGAAGAAGATAACAAGTTCATGGAAGGATAAAAGAATTGGATTGTTTTGGCAACTGATAACGTATTCTTAACAGAATTCCCTCAATGAAAAAACCATTTTTTGCTGATCAAAAAATGCTTTCTTACGGACGAAGCAACATTTGAAAGACATTAAAGCATAAATCACCCATTACATGTTCTGAAGTTGGCATCATTGCAGGTGTGCCCAAACCTAAGTCTCTAACCAATCCCCTCTACACAAGCCCTTCCCAAAAGCAAGGTAATAAATGGTAGTTCAAGAGAATAGCTCACCTCCTCTCGTAGGAGCCCAGGAACAAGAGCATATACCTCAAAGCAATCTCTCTGAAACGCGAGAAAATAGTAAAAAAATCTAAAAAATCCACAAGTGATGCTCAATAACATGTTTGATGCAATGAAGGAAGGGAAGTGAATAGAAGAGTCAGATAAAAACAAGAGACTTACAGTTTCGCGCACATTGATCTTGACCCAATCAGCAGGAGGTCCAATATCAACAACTTCAGTCACAAGTCTACCAGTTGCAAAATTAATTAGTACTATTTGATGAGAAAATAGAAACACAATTAAATTCAGAAAGTTTTTTAAACCTTTCACTAGGGATGAAATGGAACTATATGGTCTAAGGGGTCTTTAGCCTTTTAAACTAAGAACCCATTCTTCAATAATAGGCCAGAAAATTTTATGCAAGTAAATGTTAAAACAAGTTGTTATTATTATTATTATTATTGTTATTGTTATTAAAAAAAGCCGATTCAGTCAGAAACAATGACCACCCAGCAGCAGAATCATTCACAAAATGATCCTGAAAAGAATTGGTTAACATCTTCAGTATTGCTCAAGCTCATTTAGAATGCAAATATAGATGAAAACCCGACAAAATAAAATCTTGAAAAGGAAAAAAGATTAATGGTATAGTCGAATGTAGCAATATTAACTGCTTATCTGATCCATTCTGCATGGGTTTCACCACAAGCTCCACGCTTGTTTGAGTCTTATGCTTTTGCAAACCTGACTCAGAAAAACATAATATAAAGAATGAGACACAAATCAAACAAAATAATATGGTATTCTCAGTGAATGTCACACAAAATTTCTCCCTAAACAAAATAATAACGTGGAAGAGATCTGCCATCATAGGGGATACCAATGCTTTTGAGATTCTTTTCACGCTTCTGATTAGAATTTAAGGCCTTATCCTGTACAAATAAAACAAAATAATATGGTATTCGCAGTGAATTTCACATAAAATTTCTCCCTAGACAATAAATATCCATCGAAATGCTAAATGTACAAAAATGATAAGTAGGTGCAAAGTTTCAAAGGACCTTAACAATTGGCTCAGTAACCTCGCCATATCCAAGAAAGCGCTGAGCATGCCAACCCTGCATGGCACGTGCTGCAGCATCTCGGCGTGCCCTGCCTGTTCCTGGGGGTTGGTAGCTACTTGTCTGCAGAGGAAACTCAGAAACCGAAAATAAGCATAAGCACTCAAAACTTCATGAGTGCATATTGACAAAGTAAATAAATCACATCAGTTCATTTCTACATTAAAGACCAATCAAGAGTTCAAGAGAAACTAGAGAGAAGATTAAGAAATCTAAATAACAATAACAACATAAACGCAAGCACTAAAACAAGAGGAAATAAAATTCTACCTCCTTTTCAGCACTTGCTGGAGGGAGAGAAGACTCAGGTAGTTGAATCTCACCATTCTGCCTCTTATGCTTTTCATACTCCAATAGAGCCTGAACAAACTTAAGAAGATCAGAAAACAAGATAATAGCATATCATGTGTTACTTATCAAAATGAGCAACTAAACGATGACTGAGGACAACTATGCTTTTTTACATTTTTTTTTTCCCTTAGATTATCCTCTTTCTGTGGATACGCATGATAAAACAGCATCATGGTAAAGCTGATAAACAAATTATATGGGTAAACAACTTCTTGACTTTAGGCCATCTAATGGGGACAGAACATCCTCCCACAACTAGACACAAAATATACAGTTTAATATCCATTTTCTATCCCCATTAAATGACATCAAAACAATTATAAAATACAAAATTTTAAAGCATCATGCGTGCACTATCAATCTCCAATCATTATATTCCAGCACCTAAAGAAAGTTAAAGTACAACATCAGCACAATTATGATTTAATTTTTGAAGAAAACAATAAAGGTTGCCAAGACACAGAAGTTAGCTAAATTCTACCCATTATATTTGATTGTGGACTTGTGGTCAATCAATTTTCCTCTAACAAGCAAGCTTTACCTTCTCATAGAAAATGCGGAATGTCCAAGATACAGTTGTGCAAGTCCTGAAAGTAAAAAAGAAAATGAGATTAACTTTATGAAGAGAATGATGGCAGAAAAAAGACAAAAAAAAAAAATCTTCATGAAGAGAATGTGGAGTTTTGCTAAAAGGCATGCCATATGCTGAAGTTACCACTGAAAACCAGTTTTAGTCAAACATCAATGTTATACAACCTAACAAAAATGAATTGAGTAGACAAAAATTAGAAAATTGGAACATTGCTAGCTATGTAGACGGCTTACAAACCCTTGAGAAAGAGAGAGGTGACTACAACAAAAAACACTAATTTTCAAAATAACAAAAAAATCCATACAGCTCCTTACTTTGGGGGGTGGAAAGACTCTCCTACTTGTCTCCATAACTTTGATGCAGTCACCTATAGATATCCAGAGACCATATCCATCAGTTTTTTTGATAGTGTAAATGCCTCAACTTCTATAATAATGCATTTTCAAAAGCAATTCCAATTCAACATATACACAAAACTTCCAAGATGTTGTCTCATTATTGAACATTAGTTGACTTTGATAGCCATTGTAGAGGCCCCCATCCCATTCATCTTTTGAAAAAAAAAAAAAAAAAAGTATTACTTTGCACATTGATAAAACCAGATCACTTGCGATCTCTTACCCTGTGATGCATATCATCTGGAAAAACTGGCATCTAAGGCTAATGAGAATTGCTATAAGCATCAAAAAATTATTAGAGCATATTTCATCTTTACTTGCCTATCACATGGAAAAATAATGATTAGAGATATGAGTACAATACATACCAAATCATAGCCACCCAATTTAATAACAGCTCTCCATAACCTACATCAGATTAAATTTAAAAAAGAAGAAGAAGAAGAAGAAGAAACCTATCAGTTATGCTGGAAATCATACCCATAAGGCCACAACTGCAAAAGTGAATCAATCAATTTAGCATGAACTTACTTAAGGCAATTTAGTGGTTCGCCATAAAACTTAGGGGGTTTGAATTCCAGGGAATTCTCCTTATGGAAAGTTTCAAGCTCCTTCATGAATTCTGCTCGCTCCTCTGGTGTCCCAGCTTCGTCAGCATCCCCCATCTGTAATCCAAAAAACAAATATGAGTAAAATAAACAATGGATTAACAGTATATTAATAAGTTTCATGTCTACCACTAAGAACTTTTTCTCACTTCCAATTTAATTTTACTTTTAGCATTTAGTACCTCAGGATCAAGCAACCAATTCTTTGATTTGCCAACATTTTCTCCCTCAGCTTTAGGAGTCAAAGGTTCTGTTTCTGCAGGGGCTATGGGAGCAGTGTCTCCATCATTGGGATTTCCACTGCTTTTCTTCTCCTCCAGTTCAGTCAGATCCGTATCATTGGCATTTGTATTTGCATCAGTAGCAGATTTATCATCATGGCTATCAGGCTCACTCAGCTTAACATCAGTAGGCAACGTCAAAGTCTTATCATCAGCTGTCCCAAGATGAGGGGATTGACTGCTATCACCAGGGGTTGGAACATGTGGAGGGCAAGAAGATTCTTGCTCTTGAACAGTAGCATCAACAAGGGTGACATCGGAAGCCTCTGCCACATCTTGTTCCATCATTTCAGTATCTGCCATGTTGCTTATACTAATTCTACAGCCTAAACACAACAAATTCTCACATTTCAACTTATATATCATCAAAACAGGACCATCTGCTAAATAAAATAAAGAAACATATGACCCACCGCTGGTGATCCATCAAAGGACAATCTTCACAATTTTATTTTATTTTATTTTATGTAAAATACTAATATAACAGCTGAAAACAATTAATTATGCTATAAGAAACCAAACCCTAGCCTCTAATTCATTGTCTGAGAAACAAATAAAAAGAAATCAGAAAGGCACGAAAAAAGGAACCGTTTTACAGCAGTTCCCTTGTATTCCCTTCAAAATTCCAATCTTCACCTTTTTATTCACAGAGAGAAGGTATACCTCCTTGAATCAGGAAAACAGCATTAAACGAAACACCAAATCAACAAAAAAACCCCGAAAAACTCGAAAGTCGAAAGAAACTCGGGAGAAAGCTTACCTGGATCCGAAAAGGGAAGGTGATGAGCTCCGGCGGGGAGGAACTACGGTTTATGCGGGGGGAAAAGACAATGCAGTTAAGGAGAGGAGTGAGGAAGTGAAATAAACAGAGTAGCGAGGAAGGGAACTGTTATCCAACAACAGAGGAGTATAGTTCATGGCATGGCGGGTACAGTTGGGGGTTGTAGATGGCCGGAAAAAAAAAAGGAGAGGCGGTGGTCCGGTCGCCGCGAAATTAGAGGGAGAAGAATCGGAGAGGTAAACCCAGCGAGAGCGGTGAAGGGTTTGATTTCCGACTCCAAAATCCAAATCTGTTGTCTTGAGTCATTGTCGCAACACCTGGCTGGGTTTAGTTACGCGAAATTGTCCGTTCTGCCCATATTCCACTGTTCGTGTGCGGGAACATACTAATCCCACTCCGGGATACTGACATCACAAACGTATTCGTGTTATGGATATTTCTTATCCAAGCAAGCCGTATTGGGCAGGCCCACCCCCAACGGTCCGTTGTTGTGTTGGGTCAGAATTTCAAGATAAACCGGGCCAGGCCAGGCCAGCTGCATTTTTCTGGCTCTGGTTGCCTAAAAAGTCACCCTACTACCTTTTTGTGTAACTAGTACTATTTATTTATTTATTTTTTGAAGTAGGGGAATTGGGGGTGAGGGAGGAGGAATGGGAACAAGGGCAATCAAACTCTTGATGGTGTGGGTGGAAATCCACACAATAGCTACTTGAGTCACACACCAGAATTTTGTGTAATTAGTATTATTTTATCATATTATTGAATAAAGTAAATAATCCCCTACTCTTTGATCTGATTTTCCTATTTTGCCTTTTATATTGTTGAGAGGTATTTGTCATTAATAAATCATTTATCAAATGAAATTGTTTAATAAGAATTAAGATTTTTTTTAAATAAATTTTTTTGGTTTGGGAGGAATAGAGGTAAGAAATTTTCTTATTTAATTAGACTTTTTGGGCCAGCATAAAATTAATTAATATACAAGTCAAATTAAGACATGTAAATCAAACCAACTGTGATGTGAGTTGGTGGTGGAGTTAGCCACATGTCTAAAGTGCAACCTCTAATTTCTACAAAAGAAAAAAAGAAGAAGAAATACACATAAATCAACTACAAGGGAGAATCGTTTATTTTATTAAACAAATTAGTCTTGTGATTTGATAAAAAAAAATGATAAGTAAATCATTAGGCGCCACATAATAATAATAATAATAATAATAAATTATGGAAATAGGGTATGGAGATTAATTGGAAGGATTCCAACATGAGATTTGGTGTGACATATATACTTATAAACAACCTACAGTGAATGAAGCGAAGATGTCAATGGATGATCATTTTCATCTATTTGTGACTTAATGGAGTACTGTATTCATCAACTTTTAGAACCTTGATTTGAGAAATTGTAAAAAGGGGCAAATAGGAGTACATATTGGACTAGTTGGCAGTTGTGTGATTGTGAAAGAGGCACATGATTTTGGTTTGGTGCATTCCAAATTTCCAATGCATTATTGTAAGTCAACTCGAGTAGTCCCATCTTCTATTATGGAAAACCTGGTCATTTGGGGTGCAAACAGTGTCGTTGCATGCTAGTGGATTCAAGAGATGATATGATTGAATGCAAAAAAGTATCCAACCATCTTCCTTCATTAGACACTTAAAAAGACAAAAATACACAAATAGATCCAGTCAGCAACAAAAAACAGCAATCATCCCTCATTAACACAAAGAGTGGTTGAGGGGGAAACAAGTAAATTTTAGCTCCTAAAATCATTGATTCAGCCTAAGTTGAAACATCATTTTCTCTTCTGCTTAGAGATAGGTCTTGTTCAGATCATCAAAGTAGGGATGATCCATAGCCTTCTTGGCTGAAATTCGCTTTGAGGGATCATATTGCAACATTTGCTGCAAACATTTATGTTCAACAATCAGTGTGATGGTGAACAATAAAAAAAATAATACATGGACAGTCAATTCCATTATATCATATGCTAGAATCAAATAACAGCTGCATAAAATGCAATCACAGATAAAAGAACAAGTTCAACTTACTGCTAGAAGATCCAGTCCATTATTGTCCAAATTAGGGACAGCAGATGACAAGTTTTGAGGGCTCCATTGGGGGTACTCATGCCAGTTTACTAGGCTGCTCACTCCTGGCCACATTTGCTCATTGGGAGTACCCAACAACCTGCATTTCCGTTTTAAAAAATTATTAACTTCTAGAGAGGAGTCATTATCAGTTAGAAAGAAAAGGAAGCATAGTATTCTCGCTGAACCTGAAAATATGCAGGAGCTGCTGCAGTTCAGAATCCCCAGGAAACAGAGCTTGCTTTGTGACCAGTTCGGCTGGAGAAGAACATAATGCACAAGGAATGAAAGTATTTTAGATGTCAAGAACTGTAAAATTCTATCAATTTTGATAAATGTAAATGTAACAAGTAACAACAACATAAATTTTTGGAGGAAAGAGGATATCTACCAAATATACAACCAACAGACCACATATCCACAGCAGTAGAGTAATGAGTTGCCCCCAGTAGAACTTCAGGTGCTCTATACCACAGTGTCAATATCTGAAACAAAGTTCAACCCAAACTCTATCAAGTTGACATTGCAGGGGAGTTTTTACGAGGCAGAGAAAAAAATGTAACGACATGAATTACCTCATGAGTATACTTCTTAATTGGAAGAGTAAATGCTCGAGCAAGGCCAAGATCAGCTATTTTAAGTGTCATTGTCTTTCGGTCCATCAACAGATTGTGAGGCTTAAGGTCCCTGAATTAAATGCGGCAAGACTATGAATTTCTTAGGTACAGGAAGAGACCACTCTAGAAAAGGGATTAGAGTGAGGGAAATTTACCTGTGCAACACACCATGCCCGTGGCAGAAGGCAACACCCTTGCAGAGTTGGTACATCAAGCTCTGCATTGAGGATACAAATGATGAGATTGAGATAAGTGGATTTGGAAAAAAAATTTAAATTGAGACCAGGATTCGGCCAAACCTTGACACAGTTAACTGGGATATTATCTCCAGTTTGACGGAAGCTCCTGATATATTTCTTGAGATCAGTGTCCATGTATTCAAATACCAAGTACAGGACCGTCTTCCCTTCCTTGTTCTGACCTTGTTTGACGTCCATAAGTCTGAAAATGAATACAGAAGAAGAATTGATTCAAGCATTGGAAATGGAAACAGAGTTGGAACAAAAGGTCAAGCAACCAAGAATTCAAAAATTGAAACCATCAGATGGTCGAAATCCTTGAACCAAAAATTCAGAAAATGGTTTCAATTACAAAGATGAGGGTGCTACCTAGATCTAGATGCGTTGCAGAGAAGAAATCTGAATCGTTGTGACAATACAAATCAGTAAATCTATGCTAGAACTCTAGACTATTCAAAGATAAAGGTCGATCAAACCTACTACATCAAGGTCTCCTTAAATCTTGTTTAACAAGATTTGATATTTTCTCTTGCATTTTCGACAAGATTGATGCTTTATTCCTCAACAACAAAGAGAATTACGAAACCCCCCAAAAGCTTGAAACCCTAAATCCTTTCTTGTAAAAATAAACCAGAACTAACCAAATCCTAGAGATAGATAAAATCAGGAAGACTCACTCTAACTGCACTCAAAGGATCTGAAAGCCCTAAACTTATCCAAGAAATATGCTCAAGAAAAAAGAGCGAAATTGAGAAAATAGGAATAGGAAGCGAGACTTGCAAAGAAAATAGAGAGGGATTACCTGACAACGTGGGGATCGCGAGAAAGCATGCGCAAGATGGAGATTTCACGAAGGGTAGTGGGGGGCACACCCTCTTCGTCCTCGTGGAGACGAGTCTTCTTGAGTGCGACGATCTTTCCGGTGGCTTTCTCTCTGGCTCTGTACACTTTCCCATAAGTTCCCTCTCCAACCTTCTCTAGCTTCTCGAATGCCTCCATTGCTGATACAGTGGTCGCCGGCTTCTCCATTTCTCTCTCTCTCTTTTTCTCTCTCCAACTGGTCTGAGTTTGAGATTAATAAGACAGAGACGGACAGAAGAAATTAGGACGAATATATATTACAACCGTTGGGGATTTTCTTAGAGTCGTTGCACAACGGATTCTCGTTTTGAAATTCAAATTCTGGCTCTCCGTCTCCCTCCGCTCTCGGATCTATTTTATTTTATTTTTATTTTAGGCGTTGCCCCTTTTTTTTTTTTGAAATTCAAAGGGAATGATATATCACAGGCCCAATATTCTTGGGCCTAGCTATTATTCTTGATCATGATTCCTGGTAGGGCTGAGTATGGGATACGAGTATATCTAATATTTATAAATATTTGATTTATTTGGGTAGGTATTTTATATGTATCTATAAAAAGATAATTAAATATTGAGTATAAAAAATGCATACTTACTAAGCATCAGATAAGTATTAGGTAGGAAAAACAATAAATACATAAATGACTGAAATACATAACCGACAGAACAGACCAATAAAATAAACATATACTAGAGTTATATATGTAAAATGTAAAATAGAGCGATAAGAAAAAAAAATATTTATGCTTTTCTTTTCTTCCAGCAAGGAAGAAACAATCAAAGAAAAAAAAAGCAAATGAATATTTATATATACTTTCCTAGTGAATATATAAATAAACGTATGTATGTGTATATACTTACGTATTTTGTTTTATATATAAAGTTATATTATATGTATAAACTTATAGTTATATAGTAACTTATGTATTTTCAATATAAAATTTAACAAGTATATAAATATACCTTATTAAAGACCATCTCATCCTAATAGAGATGTAGGGGACAAATCCCATCCTCGTGTTAAATGAAAAAAAAAAAAGAATGCATTCATAATTTCATTCAATTCAACTCTGAAATTGGGAACCAACCAACAAATATATTTCTGTAAAAGATGGCCATCTTACTGCTCTAACACTACGAGCTTTTTACATCAAAGACCGTTTCATGCTAGGAACAAAAAAAAAAAAAATCTGTCTATCTATCAATCTATCCCTTTTTTACATACTAAACATATTCACATGTTAATGCCTATCTAACTTACATTAAACTTCTCATTCCATTTTTAGATTCACCCTCGCACTCTCCACCTTTACTTTCATCTTTAGCTTCTGTTCCTCCATGTCCTTTAAAATCGCTACCAGTTTTGCTCGGTACGCTTCGCATTGCTCACTAGCAACTTCTAACTTGGCAGTCAGTTCTTGAATTTTCTTGTCTTGATCCTACATAACAGACACAATGGCTCGTATCAGAAATTAAATGGGAAAAAAATAAATAACCAAAATCATCAACAGAAAATAATAACTGCAACGTCTTGCATTCCTTTATTGGAATGCAATATACACCCAATCCCTCTTTCCCATTATATAAAGGCCCAATTTTCTAGCAAAAAAAGATAAATTGACAGTATGAAATCCATGGGAATTGGGAAATTAATGAGTGGAAAGTACATATATCGGCTGACAAGAACAGCATCAGAATGAAAGATTAGCAGGTATAACGCAAATATAATGCGTACTACAATTCAATAATTAGAATAACCCTCAAACTTCTCATAAAGAATAAATCATCACAATTTCCAAAACTTCCAAACTAGTAAAACTTTGGCATCAATGGTTTAGAGCCATTATTTTGCAGATATTAAGGTGTTGGATAAAGACTTTATATGATGGATTTCCCAAACTAGAACATAGTATTGCGCAAAACATTCAAAACATGAAGAAGGGATAATATGCAACAACAAGATACACAGGTTGGAAAATGTACAACATTATCATAGATAAAGAACTGACCACAGAGCAAGACTGAAGTGGCAGGCTACAACCAAGCAGAGAATTTTGTATGGTGCCAGCACTATGCTTCTTTGCTGAAGCAACCTTATTTGCAGCCTCGTGAAGAGCATCAATTGCCACATTATACATAAGTACTGATTCTACTCCTTCCTCAATGAACTTCATGGCTTGATGGCAAAGGTTTTCATGACGAGTGGCATAAGACTCCTGAGAATTACTTGGCAATCCAACAGTGCAATTGTCCAATACAACCCGACCCTTGGCATTTCTTGTCCACCGTTTCAAGATATAATGAGAAGGCAATGTAAGAACATTTGTTACCCTAAAAACTGCTAAAATATGTCTGCAAATAATACCTGAGTGCTCAAACATTTGGCAGCTACAAGTAGCTTTCTTTTCAAAAACATTGAACTTCACAACATGTGCTTTCTGGTCTTCCCCAAATTTTGCAACACCATAAATTACTTCCAATCCAGTGTCATTAATTATAGTTGCAGGGTAAGCAAGAGTCTCCACTAATTCCTCTTGAAATTTCAGAAACACCTCCCTAGTGAAAACACTTGCTGCCTGCTTCTCCATAGGAGATGGAGTTTTCAAAGCAGGAACTGCATTTAATGTATCATCATCTGCCTTTACTTCCTTTTCATACCGAGTCGCAATTGCCTTTTCATATTGCTTAATCAAAACCTGCACATTTGTGGATGCATTTATGTACCCATCAAAGAATGAGTTTATACTATCATTTCCTTGCGTTATGGACATCTCTCCAAAAAAGGTATCCTGAAGATAAACTGGCACCCAATGCTGGCGAATATTATACATTGATTGAAGCCATTCATTATCCCCCAAATTATATCTTTGCAAAAGGGACTCCCAGCAAGACTCAAACTCATCAACTGTCTCGATCAAATTGATACATCTCTGAAGCTCTGATTCAAAAGTCGGGTGTGAACCATATACATCAGACAGCTTCTCCTGTGCTTCCCTAAATACATTCCATTTACAAAATCGGTGGCAAGTCCTTGGAAACACTTGTGCAACAGCTGATCTTATTATCCTATCTTGGTCTGTAGTGATTGAGATGGGATGGTGGCCTGACACTGCATCAAGCCAAGTCTGGAATAGCCAAACAAAAGAGACCTCTGATTCATTGAGAATTAAAGCACATCCAAATAAAACAGGCTGCCCATGATGATTCCACCCAGTAAAAGGAGCAAAAGGCACCCGGTAACGATTTGTTCTATAGGTTGTATCAAAAGTAACAGTATCTCCAAAGTAACTGTAATTCATTCTTGAATTCCGATCAGCCCAAAAAATGTTCCCTGTCAAGTTCTCAAAATCACCTTGGACAGCATAAAAGAAATCGGGGTCCTCAGCTTGCATTCTTTTCAAGTAGTCATAAACAAGCTGACCCCCTGTTCCAAGTGTCCTCTGCCTACTACTACTCATATAATTCTGACAATCAACCCTAGTAAAGCCAACATTATTAATTCCACCAGATTCCTTGATCAACACATTCATAATCCCACTAGGGCCCATCCCGGCTGCCTGCAGTGTATCAATGAGGGTTCGAGCGGGACCTGATACATGTCTATGTGACCGAAGGCAATGCACTTTATCAGGAGGCACAAGTTCATGGTTATGTTGTTTAACAACTCTGGACACTGCCCATTTCCCAGAATTTTGCTTCTTTACGGTCATTTGCGCCTTGCAACCAACTCTAGTGATGGTCCGCTGGCGTTTGGAGCCATTTTCCCCGCCCTTCCGACGAAAGCCCTCACGAGAGCAAACAATTTGGCGGCAAATGATAGAGCCATCACGACGTGAGCGCTGGTAGACACTAACCCGTGTGCTGAACCCAATTCTGCGAGCATATGAATTATAGAAGATGCGGGCAGCCTGCTCTGAATCGAATTCCATACCCTCATAAGGTTCGAGGTTGGGGTCAATGGGAGGAGCTACATGGTTATAATGATCATACTCATGGCAGTGTCCATCAGAAACACCCGCTTCATCAAGTTCTACAACAACCTCATTTTCTGCGGTTAGAAGTTGGAAGTCCATCCCTGGGCAAGAAGGATTTTAGGGTTTCAGAGCATTGAAGTTGAGGGGTGTAGAATCAATAGTAAGAGAAAAAGATAAAGAGTAACTAACCAGGATTAATGAGTAGCAGCGATTGTTGAAGATGCAGAGAAGCAAGAGCGAATGGATGAAGATTTGGAGTTCAGGGTTCTGTGTTTCTTTCCAGGGTTCTGTTTTGTTTTCTCCAATTTTGGAATTTTGGAGTTTCGGAAATTGAAGATTCGGTTTCGGTTCAGGGTTGTTGATCTTGATCCTCATTCACAAAATTGTACAATGTCTTTTTTGAGAATAGGCAATGGAAAGTTGTACAATGTCAGTTCCTGAAAATAATGTGTAAGATACCGTATAAATTAGAATCTCATTTGCAAAAACATCAGGAGCAATCCATATTTTGAAAAATTAACTAATATACACGAGTTCTGTTTAGGTCCTTGGTATAGTGGTTTTTTGGATAACGAATAGTAGTTTTATCTAAATTCTTAAATATAAGTATTTGGTAAATTTATATATTTTAAAATCGTTATAAATAAAGTATTTGGTAAAGTTTTTATTTAGCGGTTTGAGACTAATAGATAGTGATTAGAATCCAAACCGCTAGCGAATTGAAAAAGTTAGTTTATGTAACTTTTTGTACAGAATCGCTAACAAATTAAAATTTTTTAATTTTATTTATAAATTTATC